TGCTTTAAGGTATATACAAGAACAAAAATTGTTGCTATAAAAATAATGCAATTTCAATTTAAAAGTTTCGCAAAATTCGTAGTTTCAACTGCGAAAATATTCAAAATGAAAATTATTTTTTTGATTTAAAAGTGTTTCTTTCAATTTTGACTTGTAATTATAAAAGTGCATTTTTTTAAAATAAAAGTTGTAGTACTTTCAAAAATACTTCTTCAGAGCAAAGTTTTTGGCAACACTGGACTTATGTTTACCACCACTTTCGACTAAAAACAAGTAGATTCCCACACTTTACTTTCACCGGTTTCTCCTAGCCCCCGGAATCGCGTTTCTGGCATGCCTCTGCTAGCTTATTTTCGACGAATTGGAGGCAATTATCACGGCAGACGGAGGGAACCAATCCAAGCAATCCAGGAGGAAATAATCAAGGTGAGAAGTTTTGGAAATGGTTCGATGATGATTTTCATTCGTTTTACTTTTGCAGTACCGTAACCAGAATGCTGCTTCCGAAGACGGTTCGCAACAGTTCTGATCCTCCTAGAAGCTCTCGATGGATTTGCTGACAAATATAGCGAAGTTTAACGGATATCGGGCATCGGAATAGATTCAGAATCTAGTAATCATGCATTAATTTATTTCAGGAGTTTGATTTAAACATGTTTATAATTTTCAGTGGAACCGATCATCTTCTCATTCCTGGAAATGACCAGCACTCACCCCAGTAGAATGTTCTACCAAATATTCCTCGCTTAAGGCTGTTGCGATGCTATTGATGTCACACCAAATGCCCGTTACCGATTCCGTTACACCATCCTCAATGTCTGTTCCGGTGTTCCCCTCATGTGGATCGGAGGAGTAAAAATGGCGTGAACAAGTTGAGCATCAGCTCATCTTGGTATCGGGAAGAGACGACATACCTAATGAATTTATTTTTACTGTTATATCGAGTAAATTTTTTATTCAAGTTTTATATTTTTACTTCTTCACCAATGACATTTTAATAGATTTTGAAATGAAAAACGATGTTATTAAATTGAAAACACTGGTTTTTTTTAACTGAAAACGTTTATTTTTAACAATAATAATGCAACATTTCATTTCAAAAGGTTGAAAAAAAATTCAGTTTTAATTTTTACACTGTCATGCTTTTCATTTGACATTAGTACAATTCAGTTTGAAAGTTGAAACTTTTAAAAGTAGTGATCGAGAAACTTTTGATTTGATAATGTATTGACTTTCATTTTGAAAGCTAACCGCTTTCTACCAAAAAGAACCAATGCAAACTTTTATTTCTATCAATGGTTTTTTTAATTTTAGCAACGATTTTTCTTTGTGTGCAGGGAAACGCGGTACACTGAACGAATTTGACATATTCCTGTTATGTGGAAGTCTAATAAATTTGCGCTATAAGATAATCCATTGAATATGATATGATTGAAAATGTGTCAGGTAAATTCTATATGAATATCTGATACATTTACAATGCTGATAATTTGGTAACTTTTATATGATCGTCATATGATAAATGAAAATCGATTAAATTATAATAATTAACTGAAATGGATTTGAAACCCATAAACTATAATAGCTAATCTATACTTTTCACATAAGCTATACTTTTCACCACAATATAATATATGTGTCATAAATCAATCGAAGTAAAGTTTATGTGAAAATAACATGAAATTTACTTCTTCTTTTGACACATATATTTAATCGATTTCTAAAAATAAATTCGAAAAATAAACATCAGGCAGTGGGAGCACAGTTGTGCCTTTTTTTTATTGTAGCTGATTTGGGATTCGATCAAGATCTGTTGAGGTGTGATGCTTTCGGTGTCTGTGCTCGATTCCACTGGGCCACGGCTGACTTCAAGATTGAGCTCGTTCAAATAGCATGAAGTAAGAACAGCTCTCCCGACATGGAATGTAGTGCAACTTTATGCTCGTTTTGCTAGAGTGAAGACAAATAGCACTGACAAATTTATGTTCCGTTTCGGTGGTGTGGTTTGTTCAAATCTTTCTTAATGCACCTGTGTGCAATAAATCAACGACTAAATTATATGATTTGACAGAACTGGCTCATGAAGTTCGAGTACTACTTAGGGCTGGAATCTGAATTAGCCGTGTAGAAGGCTTACAATTAGAATCATAGCAAAGTAAATATTACAGTAGAATCATTTTTTTTTCAATCTCAATACATTCTTTTCTGGAACCAATAATCATATGAATGAGTGTACGTTAACATCGTTGAAAATTGTTTCAATAATTTATAAAGAACAATCATGTAAGATGTAATTATTGGGAGTGATATTCATCCCAGAAAAAAACATGCAAAAACAAATGCTTGCTGTTGGATTTCTTAAAAGGCATTTCTATATGACTATTTAATGATTGGTATAGATCTGTTTACAATCTTTAAACGTCAAAAATCAAAGCAAGCTATTACAATGAGATATACATGTTTTCCTATACTGCAAAGTTAAATGACAGTCCAATAGTTTCTACATGTCTATTTACACGCGACATATCAACAAACGTCAAAAATCAGTAAAAGCAACTCCAATAAAATATACATGATTATCTTATAAGATATATATTTTAGTGAGCAATATTCATCATGAAAACAGGTATATTTTACTGAATTTTCTCATAGTGCAAACTTATATGATTTTCCATTAGTTTCTAGATGTCTGTTCCCACTCATGACATATCAACAGTTTTTCACCATGAAATATATCAGACAATATTCATATACTTCTTACCTTCGCTAACCACGTTCGAAGCAAAGTATTATCAAGTACTAAGTATGTGAAATTACGATAGAAATCATTCCATATCGCAGTCATAGTTTTTAAGTGATAATCCAATGGAATCTATCAATCATCACATAGAATGAATAAATATGCTGACATTGCTATGTTATAAGATGGATCCAATAAACGGTACATGTCGATTTGTTTCAGTGTATATATGGATGTGAAGAAGGAAATCCCTCGGGAAATCCCCACGTCATTACATTTCTTCAATCGCAAAGGAAATATATTTTATGATGGCAACAAAGATTAATATTTTCTGTGCAAGGCGGATGGACACCGGAAGCTTTCCTGCCCCAAGGGGAAGGCTCGGAAGGAACCGAAGAAGCAAGGAAGAAAGAAAGCAGCAAATTGAAAGAAAACAAAACAGCAGCAGTACGTATGCTGGTGTAGTGGTGGAATGTGCGTCGTTAGCAGCGTTGCCAGGTAATTTTAGAAAAATCTGGACCAGGTAAAATATGAAATCTGGAAAAATCTGGAATGCTCCAAAAAATCCTCTTTTTAACATAATGCTGTTGATATCAAAGTGATGTGCCAATCTCCCGTAAAAATAGGTCAGTATGAGCATCTGGAATTTATTTAAAGTACTAGAATGGTTATAAATTACATGTTTAAATAAATTATGTAAAGCAAATAACTTTTTAGCATTGCTAAAATCAACCAAAAGTTGAAAAGTATTGACACGGTGTGCCTAAAAAGTTCAAATATCCATTACGCAGCATTTCAAAAATTGAGTTAAATGTGGGTAAAAAACAGCAGAAAATATGGGTCGAATTGTATTTTTAAACTACAACTTTTATAAAAAGAATGAGAAGCAAAGAATCAAGGAAATTTGATGGGATGGATTTTTTGAACTTAAAGTCGATGTAGTCCTTGCTAAGTGATGCAGTAACAGAATTTAAAAATTTTGTTAGTTCTAAATAATTCTAATAATTACTCTGCGGTTGATCAGATTTACAGTTTAATTCTTGAAATCATACAACACACAACGCAGACCAGTAGGAAATTTTATGTTGAAGCAAAATTCACCGGGCTGAAGTGGGAATCAAAGCCTAAGATCGTGGAACTTAACCAAAGTTTACCTAAACTACGGGTAACTCCACAATTCGCATGACCATTATGCCAAAGAATAATTTTATTATATTACTAAAAATTAAAGTCTGATAGCTTCATTTTTGAAGTCTCAGGATCTTGCAATGATTCTAAATTCAGGAATTTATATTTTTCCTGCGTCCCAGATCATGCATTTTTTGTTAGTCTGAATTTACTTGGAACTCTTCACAGGATATCTTCGCCTTTTTTTTTAGTTCAATTTGAATCATCCTAGAATTTCATCATATTTCTTTTCTATATCCCCCAAATTAATCTTGAAAATATCTAAACGTTTTCAATAACATTCTAAGAGTTCTTAGCATTACCTCTTGAAATCTCTTATAAATCACTCTCCAATTCCACAACTCCCTTAAATTGGTAATAATTCAAAAAGAATTGGCTCAATTCAATCCATTTTCTCTATGAAATTCTTAAAATATTCTTAACTATTTTCTTTGTGCACTCTTCAGAATGACCGTCACACTCTTCTCAGACTTATCCGATAAGTACTTTGCCAAAATGGTTTTGAAAGTCTCTCAAAAATTGCGCTTAAAATTTTAATAAAATTAATCTCCATAGAAACATTGAACAGAATCCCTGTTCCCGTAAGCGACAACAAGAGGCGGTAAACAAATTTCCGTAAACTTAACGAACTTTATTAACAGTTGTTAAATTTTCCCTGTAGGTTAAATTTTCATCAGTTTTAAGCATAACTACTACTACTGTTAGATGTGTTCTGTGACTTACGTTTAGTGTTTTCCTTTTAATTCCGCAACGTCCGGAAAGCTGTCTTGTACGGTAGTAGTTGTTTGGGGATCCTTGAACTAACGATTCTGCCCTGACCTTTGACCTCCAACTAATGGTTTTAAGTAATACGGCAAAATCTGTGCCATAGTGTAAGTTTCAGGTTAAATTTTGAACGAACTAATAAACAGCAATAAATATCTTTTTAAATTCATTTACCTTGATAAATCACTAAATCATTTATGCTAACCAGCTAACTAACTAATTAAATTCACTATTTAAGCTCCGACTAGCTTTCAGATTAGTTTTTAACTGCATAAATATAAAGAAGTGTAAGCACGCGTAACTATGTTCACTTCTGCTGGTGTTGTATATTCTTCGCTTTTTGACGGCTCTCCATTCCACCGAATCGTACCAGTGGCGGTGTGTTCCGATGGGGTTCTGCTGAGAGCGGAGGCGCGTTCGCATATTCCGTAACACTCCCCCCCAGTACGCAGGGTCCTGGTTCCTGCTTACTCGAATTTGCGCCGACGTCCAGAACTGCAAGTTTTACCACAGGTCGTTCGTATACGTTGAGTGTAGTCTTCACCGTTGCGCTTCGTACTTGTCCGTCCTTACATTTGACGTCTACAACGCGTCCTTTTGGCCACGAGTTTCGTGGTAAATCCGGATCCACGATTATCACAACGTCGTCGATCTGGATTGGTTTCACCGGATAATGCCATTTTATCCGACGGCATATTGACGGCAGGTACTCCCGTAACCATCTTTTCCAAAAGTGGTTGGCGTAGATTTGAGAAGTTTTCCAAGTGTTGGTTAGCGTAGCGATGCTGTCGTTGTATGGCACGAGAGGTTTCGAACCATTGGACGAACCCAACAAGAAATGATTGGGAGTTAGAGCTTCGTTTTCACCGTCTTCAATAGGCACGTATGTGAGGGGTTGCGAATTAATAATATTTTCCACCTCCAGCAAGCTGTTCCGAAGGACTTCGTCGGTGGGAGATCTTGGAAGCTGCATGTTATTCAAAACTTTTTTCACTGACTGCACCAGTCTCTCCCAGCTTCCACCCATGTGCGGACTGCTCGGAGGCAAGAAGGTCCACTTGGTAACTGGTGTCACGAATTCCTGCATAAGCTTATTTTGATCGAGAGACCGGAACGCTTCGGTAAGTTCCCGCTTGGCACTGACGAAATTCGTTCCCCTGTCGCTGAAGAATTCCAAAGGAGAGCCTCGTCTGGCCACGAAGTTCCGTATTGCCATGATGCAGGAGCTAGTGTTGAGATAATGTGCAATTTCAATGTGGATGGCACGTACCACTAGGCATGTAATCAGCACGCCCCACCTCTTTTCAGTTCGTCTACCAACGACGACTTGCATTGGTCCGAAGTAGTCGATCCCGACATAAGAGAACGGTCGGAAATAAGCTGCTAGACGAGCCGATGGAAGATCAGCCATGATCGGCGGCTGCGGTTGAGCTCGGGCGTTCTTGCAGAACTGACACTGTCGACGGATTTTGTTGCACACACTTCGTAGCTGCGGGATCCGATACTTTTGTCGTAGTTCGTTGACGATGCTTTCATGGTTGAGATGGTGATAGCGTTGGTGGACAAATTGTACGACGAGTGTCGTAACCGGATGCTTCTTTGGCAGCACGATAGGATGGGCAGCATCTGAATCGATGAATTGACAGGCAGCAGTTCTTCCTTGCATACGAAGTACTCCGTAGTCATCAAGGAACGGCGAAAGTTTGTAGAGTGAACTACTTTTAAGAATAGGAATCACCTTCTTCTCGCTTGCCTCCTTGTGACAGATCAGCGACGATACTTCCTCACCAAACGTGTCTAGCTGGGCTTGTCGGTAAATGCAACATTCCGCTTCAAATAGCTCCGATTGATTGAGGATTCCGGTAGATGGTGGTTGACGCTGTAGTCTAGCTCGAAGGTTTTTCATGAATCTGAGAACGTACGCGGAGACCCGTAGAAGTTTACGCCAGTTGGAGTATTTAGCGAAGTTAAGAACGGGTTCGCCGGCCACGTGGACGTTGACCGAAACTTTCATTTCGGAGGTGGTTTCTCCATGGTTTGCCGGCTGAACAGGCCAAGCGCTCCGCTGTTCCCACAGAAATGCTGGTCCCTTGAACCAGCGGCTTGATGGTGATAGGTCGGGAGTCCGCTGCCACTTAGTGCCATCATCGGCCACGTTCTGCTTTGTTGGTACCCAGAGCCACTCTGCCTGTTCAGTGCTTTCCAAAATTTCGCCAACTCTAGCACCGACGAATTTGCTGTACCTCCTGTGATCGGATCGTAACCAGCAGAGCACGTCCCTTGAGTCGGTCCAGAAGAACCGTTTTCGGATTCCAATGCGATGGGTTTCTCCTATAGACTTCGCCAGCCGGGTTCCGATCACCGCTGCTTGTAGCTCTAATCGAGGTATCGAGACATATTTTAAAGGAGCGACCCGAGTTTTCGCTTCAACGAAGGCGCACTCAACTGTGCTGTCCTCTTCGAAACGGAAGTAAGCAACCGCAGCGTAGCCATTCTCGCTCGCGTCTACGAAGACGTGTAGTTGAATTTCGTTGAACTCACTGGACGAAGTTGTCATCGTGCGATAGCACCGAGGAACGGAAACTGTATTCACCTTGTTCAATACACTGAGCCATGTTCTCCACTTTTCCAGCTGCTGGTCGGGTATCGGCTCGTCCCAACCAATATTAGAGCGCCAGATCTCTTGCAGCAAAACCTTCAGGTACATCAATACGTTGGCAAGAAGTCCTAGCGGGTCGTAGACTGACATGAGAATCCGCAGAACTTCCCGCTTCGTGGGAACTTGCTCTCCGGATAACAGCTCCTGTCTGCATCGGTTCGGGATTTTGAACGTTAACGTGTCATTGATCGTATTCCACCACATCCCTAGAACTTTCTCGGTCACCAGCTCTCCGGTCTTGTTTAGATCCTTTTCAGGAGCTCTCTGCTCGCCCATGGAATCTACTACTTTCTTGGAGTTTGACAGCCATCCTCGGATTTCGTACCCACCTTCTGCATGTATGTATCGCACATTTTGCGCGAGCTTTACCGCCTCTGCTTCAGATTCGACACTGCTGAGCATATCGTCCACATACGTTCCTTTGCATATTGCCTCCACCGTTCCGGAAATAGAGTCCTGAATCGTTCTGCATTTCGCTTCATAACGTACTGTGCACTACTAGGTGAACAGCTGGCACCGAATGTCATCACCTCCATCACGTAAGTCGAAGGACCTTCTCCGGGAACGTCATCATCCAACAGGAATCGCTGGCAATGCTGGTCTTTGGGTCTCATCCGCACTTGATGAAACATTTCACGAACATCCCCTGACACAGCCGTACGATATTCACGAAACCGCTGAAGCACATGTGGAAGGGGCGTGACTTGGTCAGGACCTTTTAGCAGAAATGAATTCAACGAGAGGTTACCCACTTTGGCGGCGGCATCCCAGACAATACGCAGCTTGCCGGGTTTGTTGGGGTTAACCACTGGAAAGATCGGCAGATACCACGAGCGTCCAGCGTACGTTGCTTCTTCCTGCGCCGAAAGCTTGCGGATATATCCTTTCGTTCGGTAATCCAGTATTTTTTCCTGAAGAGCTTTACCTAGCGCAGGTTCTCGAACCATGCGTTTACTCAAACAGTCATGTCGCTTCAGGGCCATGCCTTTGCTCTCCGGTAGCCGGACTTCTTCATAACGCCACAGTAGGCCAGTCTCGTATCTCTTATTCTGGAGAATCGTGTTTGTCTGCAGCAACATCATCGCTCGTTCGTCGTCCTTCGACATCAGCGGTTTCCCAGCAAGTTGAACCCCGAGGCTGTCCAGAGAGAAGTAATTTTTGACTGCAGAATGAAGCCCATCACACTGACAGATATGGTAACTGTAGGTCACGTCTTTTTTCGCCATCGTTTGCTCTGACACCGAGCACGGACCGTATACCAACCACCCTAGCCGTGTTAGTACCGCGGTCGGCTGATTCTCACTCCCTTCTCTGGAATCGAACGGATACTCCAACCTAGCGTTGTCGACACCCAACAAAATGCGTGGTTTGACTGCGACGTACGATTCGATTGGCAGGCCCGACAGATGCTGGAAATGTTTCGTTAGATCCTTCACCGACATTGACTGTGGAGGAAGGTCTAGGTTTCGCACCGTGTGCACTTCCGAAAGCTGGAAACTTTGGCCGGGAGTCTGAGCACCTGCGATCTCGGCGGAGAATTTCACCGAGTCTTCTTCGTATCTTCTTTGTCCGCCAGTCCATGACATGCACAATGGAGATTTCTCACCGTTCAGATTCAATTCCTCCCACAAGCTGTGCTCCATTAACGTCGAGGTCGATCCTGCGTCGAGGAATGCGTACGTCGTGATCGATTTACCCTTGCCATGCACCGTGACACGAATGTACTTCAACAGAACTCCTCCCAGCGAACTATGATGCGTGTTACAAGATGCGATCTGTGCTGGAATGATTGACGTCTGTTTCTTGTGTTTACTGTCATCATGCAATAGCTGGTGATGTAGGAAGCTGCACCCGTTCCGATTGCATGGAACCTTCCTCTCACAAGTTTTAAAGTGCTTAGTTAGACATTTCCGACAGATCTTCTTCTCATTTACCAACGCCCATCGTGCATTCGGTGTCATCTTGAGAAAACTACTGCACTTGTCGAGGGAACTGCACTCATTTCTGCACGCTAGGCAAGCTTTGCGGTCCACTTGCTCCGGTGAGTGCGTAGAATGCACATGTATATACGCTTCTTCTTTCCGACCTTTCCTCTCCGGCTTGTTCTCCAACTTCTGTGATTTAGTCCACACAGCCGGTCTGATCACCTGACTGAACGCCTCCACCATGTCTCCGAGCCAATCGTTGAAATCTACCAGTGTGGCAGCGCCCTTCTCCTTACGGTGAAATGCCCATTTCATTTTCAACGCTGACGGTAAATTATCTACAAGCTCCTGCAGCAAAGCGACATTGTACAACCGTTCGTCCATTTCGCACACTTGTATAGTTGCACACAAATTCTGAACTGCCACGCCGAAGTCAACAATAGTTTCCAGTTTATCAGCCTTCGGAGGCGGCATCGTCCGAATTCTCCGAACCATTGTCTCAACGATAGACTCCGGGTTGCCGAACAGTATTTTCAGCCGATTGATTATGACTGGAACGTTATCGGGATGTAGGAGCAGGCTTTTAACAGCATTGAGTGCCTTATCGTGCAGGCTCCTTTCGAGACGATCGAGTAACTCATCGTTCCTAAAGGCACACATCCTGACAGTTCGCTCGTACGCCGCGATGAAACGTGGCCAATCTTCTGGATCTCCACCGAACTTCGGCAGATCTTTTACCGTCTGTCTTGCTGCTAAATGGTCTCTGTTTAGCAGTACAGGATCACTACATGGTTGTTGCTGATACTGTTGCCGCGGGGTTGACGTTACCATCGGTGGTTGTCCAATGTTTTGAGACATGCCCGCTATATTCTGGAAGTTCTGAGCGCCTAGGTACGGATAGCTCATTGCCGGATTAGCTGTCGTCATTACCGGCTGCTGTGACGGTATAGTGTAGACTGGGGCCGACGGTTGACTGGATACTGGTGCTGAATATCCGCCAAATGTTGGATGATGACTCGCTGTTGCTCTTGGAAAGTTTTCGCCAGGTCGAGGCTGCTCGATGTACCTGCCACCATGACCGTAACTTCCACCAAAATGCTCCAAGACGCGTGGCTGAAACGAAGTAGGATTCCCCACAGGTTGCTGAAGACTAGATGGTGGAACTGGGCCGCAGCTGCTAGTGAGGCACGGTTGGGTTGAAGACACCACCGGTTTTCGCAGAGATTCGTCATACACCGGCAGAGGTGTTCCATTTATAGAATTTCCTACACCCTTCCCTACGTTGTCCGTTTTCTCCAGCCACTCGTTGATCTTGTCAAAACTCGTAATCGACTCTACCTCGGAATCAGTGACCTCCAACATCTCATACTCAAACGCCAGTCGCTCTTCTAGCTGCCTTATTTCCAACGCTTGTCTCGCTTCCAGGGCCTTCACTTGCAGTTCCCGTAATTTCGCTGAGCGTCTTGATAATTTCGAAGATGCCTTGTCACTACTGTCGGATGTTCTCTCATTATTGCCGGTCGAGCTTGCCAGCGGTTCTGTGTTGCACTGTTCATCCGCTATGAACCCTTTTGGAGCAACCTTCTCCACAAATTTGACCTGATGCTGTAACTGCTTCGGAATCGCACCAAGCAATCTCGAAGGTACTTCAAGTCTCGTTGCAGCATCTCCCGACAGCGAACTCTGCTGCTGCAACTGCAACATTCCCTTCTGCAACTGATCGAACTGCTCCTGCATTCGCAGCTGCCACTCTTCTGGTTTCTGCCGCTGCTCAATATGCTTTTGTTGTTCGTCAGTCTGCTGTAGGCGTTTTTGTTGCTCTTGTTGCCACTGCTTCTGTTGCTGTTCAAAGCGCTCCAACTTCTCACTCAAAGCATGCCTCTGCTTATCCAATGATCTCCGTACGCATGCGTTACAGCTCCAATCATCATCCTGGATCCTGTCGTCCACGTTCACGCAATCATAATGATACCAGACGTCGCACTCATCGCATTGCACCATCCGACTGGTATCGACTTCATGACACTTACCGCAGCTCGCCCCCTCACCACCAGGAGCATTACTTTTTCTCTTGGGAGACTTCCCAGCACTCGCTACGCTACCGTTCGACATTCCGGAAATTAAACGGAAAATTTAATTTGTTCCCGTAAGCGACAACAAGAGGCGGTAAACAAATTTCCGTAAACTTAACGAACTTTATTAACAGTTGTTAAATTTTCCCTGTAGGTTAAATTTTCTTCAGTTTTAAGCATAACTACTACTACTGTTAGATGTGTTCTGTGACTTACGTTTAGTGTTTTCCTTTTAATTCCGCAACGTCCGGAAAGCTGTCTTGTACGGTAGTAGTTGTTTGGGGATCCTTGAACTAACGATTCTGCCCTGACCTTTGACCTCCAACTAATGGTTTTAAGTAATACGGCAAAATCTGTGCCATAGTGTAAGTTTCAGGTTAAATTTTGAACGAACTAATAAACAGCAATAAATATCTTTTTAAATTCATTTACCTTGATAAATCACTAAATCATTTATGCTAACCACCCTAATAAAAATTGTATGGTTAATTTGCTTAACGACGTGTTCTGAGTATCATCCAAACCTTTTATTGAATAGTTAGATGATTTGGGTTATCGTTCGTTTATGGTTATTTTTTATTAGGGCAGCTAACTAACTAATTAAATTCACTATTTAAGCTCCGACTAGCTTTCAGATTAGTTTTTAACTGCATAAATATAAAGAAGTGTAAGCACGCGTAACTATGTTCACTTCTGCTGGTGTTGTATATTCTTCGCTTTTTGACGGCTCTCCATTCCACCGAATCGTACCAGTGGCGGTGTGTTCCGATGGGGTTCTGCTGACAGCGGAGGCGCGTTCGCATATTGCGTAACAATCCCATTGAAATTATTCTCACGATTCGTATCAGCATACTCCTTAAGTTTCATCATAAGAATTTCCTATGACTTCTCTTCCGGATTGCATTTCCTTTATTGACAAAATCTCCATGCAATTGTCATCAGAGTTGACAAGACAATTGACACCGTCTTCAACCAGAGGTTGCACAGACTGAATATTTAACACTAGACAACGGACAACACACCACACCCATTAGAACAGTAGGGAAATTTTCAGGTTGCCAAAATTTGCACCGGCTAGAGCGGGAATCGAACCCTCACTTCGTGGTACTCACAATACGCCTAAATGATGGGTGACGCCACACGACCCCAAAAGCCCACTTTAAAAAAGCAACATGTTTAAAAAATCTGGGAAAATCTGGAACATATTTAAAAAATCTGGAAATATACGTGGTCTGGCAAGACGACTAAAAATCTGGAAAATCCAGATAAATCTGGAATACTGGCAACGCTGGTCGTTAGTCATTAGCGACCATGAAACGGACACGAGGTTGGAGATGTTGAATGAAAATAACGAAATGGACGTGACAACCCCGACGACCGACGAGAGTAGCAGAGAGCATGCAACGGGAAACGACGTTCAGAAGCAGCAGCAGCGATCACGATTCGGGTTCAATGAACATGAGGAACAAATTCGGGAAAAAAAAAGAAGTTGAAAGAAGGATCGCTTTGTCGCCGCTTCGATCGCCACCCAGGAAAATCCTATAATAAAATGCATTTTTATATCTTTTTTGTATTTTGAGTATCAAAATTGGTATTCCATGTTACTCGGCTCCGCTAAGTTATTTTTATAACATTTGAGCCTGCCAAATGAACGTAATAAAAAAAACCATGGTCCTTGTGCCAGTGTAGTAGCATCAACAATCAATACGAAACTAACGATTTTAAATTGGCTCACCACTTTAGTAGCCTATTGGTCCCAAGCAAACGATTAACGTACCCTATTATAGTTGAAATTCTATTACTACACTATGTTTGTTTTGATTCGCTATGAAAGTTTGACAGATTACATCAGGGGTGTGTGGATTCATGCAGAACATGCAGGGGTGAGTGAAATAGCTTGGGACTGCTTGGGACCGTTGTTCTGGTACTGAGTGAGCCAAAAATAATAATGATTTTCTTCGGGACCCAGTGGTCTTAGAGTTACCTCTATGGTAGCATGTAGTAGTTTCCATATAACACCAGCAAAAAAATACTTACTCTTAAGTATATTGTACCCAAAATTAAGTTTAATTTACGTAAATTTGAGACTATGCAATTTACTCTAAATTATCTTATTGGGCTGAACTATATCATTGGGTCGAATCTCTTGTTCCTCTTTTGACAACAATAACATGGGTGGGACGTGCTGTCAAATCAGCCAACTGATCATTCTTGTATTAAATTGGTTCCAAACGTAAACAAACCCCGTAGGTTTCTTATGGCTTGTTTACGTTTGGAACCAGTTATGCGAGGTAGGCGACGATTGTTCGTATTTGCTACCTTCCCCCTTCATGAAACGAAAATCAATTATTTTAGTCATGTGTTTTACTTATACATTTTTGCCAAAAGATCAGCCTTATACATTCCATAAGACAAACCACATAGGTCCTATAAGAATGCGTAAAAGGTATGTGTGACCGCTTATACATTTCATTTGACACATGAGCTTCATTAACTTTTTGCTAGGCATCTGCTTATTAGTTGACTTATACATTTTATGAATAATCAGCAATAGAAATTTGCCAAAAAGTATAAGGAGATTTCTATCCGTGTTGAACAATAACGGGTGCGTGAGAGGTTCAACTGAAAATTAAGTAAAAAGAACTCAAATTTAGGGTGATATTTTTTCTTCGTGTTGACCCGCTAGCGTGCACGGGCACTTTGAAAGTGATCTAGTTCATGATTCATTCTTCTCAAAACAGTAAACAAAAATGTCAATTTTGACATCTTCCCGAGTGCAACATCGTGTTCCTCGTGCGCTTTATACTGTCGCGTAATCGAGCTCTAATCGGAACGTTCTTCCGCGGGTGCATTGTTATTTCATCATCCCGTAATTCCGTACTTTTCCTAGACGATTCGATCGGTTGCGGCAGCATTCAGTGCAGTTATACGTCTTGTTCGGGAGGAAGCAGCAATTGATTGAAAATGTCGTGGTTATTCGGGTACAAGAGCCAAGTACCGCAGGCGCCGCCACCGGGAGGCGAAGGTGGTGCCCCGCAGGATCCTAGCTCGGCAGGCCAAGCTGCTGGCGATGTGAATCTTTCCAAGGCAGAAAGAAAGGCTATGGAAGCATACCGGTTCGATTCGTCGGCTCTGGAGCGTGCTGCGGAAGCTGCCCGAACGCTGGAACGATCGAGTAAGTTACTAAGGCTGTTGCGTAATGTTTTCAGATTGGAAGGATTAGGGCTTGTGGCTGGGATTACTATAGTGTGAAATTTACGGAAATTGTCTTGTTTTGTGAATTTTCAGAACATGCTCGTGAAGCACTGGAGTTGTCGAAGTTACAAGAAGCAACTAGACAGCAGGAATTCATGACCAAGGCCAAGGAATATGAGGCACACATCGAAGCTTCCAAGGTGGAACACAAACGCGTAGATCATGAGGAGCGACGTAAGACACTGGCCGAAGAAACGAAGCACCAGCAGCAGCGAGCACAGTATCAGGATCAATTGGCTAGGAAACGATACGAAGAACAATTGGCCCAGCAACAACGGGTCCAGGATGAAAATCTCCGAAAGCAGGAGGAAAGTGTTGCAAAGCAGGAAGCGATGCGTAGGCAAACTATTGAACACGAAATGCAACTAAGGGAGAAGAATAAGATGAAGCTACTGGAGGCGGAATTGAGAGCTAAGGCAAAAGTTGATCGTGAGAATCGTGATTTGACTTTGGAACAGATTCGTCTCAAAGCGGAAGAGAATCGCATCACTGTCATGGAAGGAATCAAAACAGCTGGTTCCGTGCTAGGACAAGGTGCGACCGCTTTGCTTACGGATTGGAATAAGGTGGTCACAACTGTCGGAGGGTTGTCGCTACTCGCTCTTGGAGTATATTCTGCCAAAGGTGCAACGGGTGTCACTGCTCGTTTCGTGGAGGCAAGAATTGGTAAGCCTTCGTTGGTGAATGAAACATCCCGGTTCTCACTCTTGGAGGCCGTTCGTCATCCAATTAAGACATTTAACCGCTTTAAGACTAAGCCAACAGATGCTCTGCAAGGTGTCGTTCTTCAACCGAAGCTGGAAGAACGTCTGAGAGATATCGCCATTGCAACCAAGAATACGAAAACTAACAATGGACTTTTCCGCAACATCCTTTTCCATGGCCCGCCCGGAACGGGAAAGACCATGTTTGCCAAGAAGCTTGCTACCCATTCGGGTATGGATTATGCCATCATGACCGGTGGTGACGTGGGTCCAATGGGACGCGATGCCGTCACAGCCATTCACAAAGTGTTCGATTGGGCTAACACAAGTCGTCGTGGGCTGTTGCTCTTTATCGACGAAGCGGATGCCTTCTTGAGGAAACGATCATCCGAGCAGATTTCCGAGGAACTGCGGTCGGCTTTGAATGCTTTCCTCTACAGGACTGGTGAGCAGAATCCACGTTTCATGCTGGTCCTCGCGTCGAATACACCGGAACAATTCGATTATGCCATCAACGATCGTTTGGACGAGATGGTTGAATTCGTTTTGCCCGGAATTGAGGAACGCGAGCGTTTGATTCGGTTGTATTTTGACAAATTTGTGCTGCAACCGGCTTCCGAAGGAAAGAAGTAAGTGCTTGAATTGGAGAGTATCGCTCACAGCTGATTAATCGCTTGATAATTATTGCCTTTCAGACGTTTTAAGGTGGAGCAATGGGACTACAGTGCCGTGTGTAGTCAAATGGCTGAATTGTGCAAAGGAATGTCCGGTCGTGAGATTTCAAAACTGGGCGTCTCATGGCAGGCTGCATGTTACGCCTCGGAACAAGGTGTACTCACCGAAAAGATGGTTCTGGACCGATGTGAAGCAGCCGTCAGACAGCATAGGCAGAAGGTAAGTTTTGAAGGAACACTGCTATTCTAATCGGAAAGCAACATAACGATGTTTTTTTTTATCACTTTCAGATGGCGTGGTTATCGGAGCACGAAAAACTAGATCACAAATCCGTTACTGGTGGAAAGGGTTTTATAATGTAACGATAAGGTAAATCACAGGTTCTTTTTCTCGGTAGAGTTTAATTATCGGAATACTAGCTCCAGTAGTTCTTAGAGATTGTTTTTCAATTCAATGAGCTGGTCTCATTTTCCTCGGAAGTTGCCAAAAGTCACTCTTCTCATAGCTGAGATTGTTGTTGTATTCAGCTTCGGAAGTGTGATTTTATGCACTCCCCCAAAAAAAAAGGAACAGCCGACCAGTTCTATTGGAACGAGTTATGTATATTATTCAAAGTAAACAGAGACATTGAAGCAAGAACCAGCGCTTTCAAGGTGAGACCGTTCATCTCAGGGAAATTTATATTAAACTTCTTCGAACGGTCATGGCCAAACCTTGCGAGAATTATGATCGCAGACGAAATGAAACTTTTAAATGCATTTAGGCTACTCACGTGCATTGTCCCAACTGGAATGTGTTCAACGACGGCAGTTAACGCTTGCTTCTGCTCAATATTATCATTTTGTAACAGTTTTGAGCAATTTAGAAACTAATTTTCGTTTCATGTGGGATAACTTTTTGCTAGAAAAATCTTGTTCTATAGTTGCGGAGATGTGATTGAGTTGAAGATCCAAAAAGTTATATAAATTAAAGACGTATGACGTTAAGAAGTAATACATTTTGTTTTCTGTTGAGAAAAGTTGAGAAATCCCATTTAATAATTGTATTATTAGGTCGACGCACCTAATAATCACCCTGGGCATTGTCATAACCTTGAGGATTGCCTAACTGCAACGAAGTCTCAGGGCTTGTATGTATCTTTACATTTTGAAAGATGCACACTAAAGAGCCTAAATTTATAAAGAGGCGACATGTCAAAATTGGAACAATCGACTGTCTGTCAAAGTCATATGAAAAGTCATTCCAATCGAGCAGAAGACCTGTCAAATGGATAAGATGTCGTCTCTTTATAAATTCAGGCTCTTTAATGCACACTAGTGATGCCAGTTGTGATGAAGCGGACCAAAAGTTTGTTGGAATTTAATTGCTAGCCAAAATAAAATAATTGTGTAGTTTAGAATTATGATTTTAACTATGAATTGTTTTTTTTTTCTTAATAATTAAGTCTAATGCATTATCTTTTATTTATTTGGTTCAAAACTTTTGGAATGCTACATCATACAGGTACTACCTTTGAATTTGGCTTGATCGAGTGGCGATTTTGTTTTCTTTAGATCAAGACGATGAAGTTTTGAAGAAGACAACGATATTAACTATCTCCACGCTGGATCAACATATATCCATGATAGAGGGATAGAACATCATTTTATTTTCATAAAAACAACCATCATAACAGATTATCAGTAAAGCCCTTTAGTATGGGATCCTGGAGAAGAAGACAATTGGAAAACCAGCGCAAGGCACGATGCAGAAAGAAGCGACGGATTATTGGCAAGTGGTGGCTAATAACTGAAGCGAGTTTAAAACAGCCACGACAAGATTGTGCACTGAAATGGTGAAATCAAAATACGAAGACTCGGAAGATACTCTCAGTGATTCAAGTAGCGATGTTTAACTGATCATCCCGGATTTCAAAGGCTTCTCGACGACGAGGATGATGCTTTCCCAGGATTCGTCTAAGCAGGAATAATATACTATCGCTCTACTGTCAAACTCTGTGATGGTAAAATCAACTAACAACTTCCTTTTTTTTTTTTTTTTTTTTTTTTTTTTTTTCTTTATTTATTTAGGAGATTTTCAGCCGTAGGCTGGTTCATCTCCGAGAGACCCTGAAGTGGACTCCCCGAGTAACGTGGTTTAGATTTTTTCGGTGAACCCTGAGGGGGTTCTCCTGGGTATAGATGTGCTTAGGGTGTTCCCTTGGTACATAGTGGGTTTTACAGAGTTTGTTAACGTTTGTGTTTTGTGGTTGTTCAGCGTGATTGGCGGTTCATAAAAGGGATGGTCGTTGTGAAGGGTAATCAGATAATCGTTGTGTGGTATCCAGTCTAGAGTCAATCGGGTCCGTGTTCGGTGCGTTGTTATTTTGTATAGGGGGTCGGTGATTAAATTTTATCGAACAATCCAGCATCTTTAAGAAAGGTTATTAGAGCAGCTTCCGTGGATGGGTCGTTAGACAGGGCATTGCGTATGTTGTCCGGGATTCCGTTGTGGACCCGGATGTTCTGGAAGCAGGGACAGTTAACGATCAGGTGTTCGACAGTCATTATAGTGTTGCAGGTGTCGCAATACTTCTGAAAAGATGTAGCGCTGCCCATATTATGGGTTACTCGGGTGTGTCCAGTTTGGAGCCGAGATAGGATCTGTTGTTCCCGTCGACTCGTAGTGTCCTTCCATTTGAATATGTCGTCCTTTATTTTTCTTAAGAAAGGTCCCCTTTTTGTAACCCACTCTTGGTACCAGGCGTCTCGAAGGGTCGTTTTCACCCATGTTTTTATATCTGAACTGGGAACAGATGTGGTAGTCATCCGGCCGGTGCGCCCAGTGGCGGCGAGATGGTCTGCTTCGCAGTTACCGCCTATACCACAATGGCCAGGTACCCAGACAAATGAGGTGTTCGGTGGTGCGGTCTTTTGTATGCCTTGGATCCAGGGATGTTTTGATGTTGTTGAATTCAAGGCACATAAAACGCTGGCAGAATCTGTTAGAACGCAAATGGGTTTATCGGAGGGCGTAGTGATGGCTAAATAGATGGCCGCGGCCTCCGCCGAGAAGACGGAGCATTGATCGGGAAGTCGAAAGAATAAACTGTTGAACGTATCTGCTACTCCGTATCCTACTTTTCCCGCAGCCTTGGAGCCGTCCGTGAAGCGGTGTTGAAACTTGGCATACTTAGTTCTGAGTAACTCCGCTAGGTGGCTGTGCATAGCGTGAGAGTTGTTCCCTGCCTTAAAGTGCAGGGAAATCGAAAGGTCAACATGTAGGGTTGGTTCTGTCCATCCTCTGGCTCCGATCCTGGACACGGATGGGAGTTCCTGATGGACCAGGCTTCCTAGGGCTCTATTCCCCTCTCTGAGGAGAAAGACCTCGTGGTTCCCAGTGGTCTTTTCTAGGTAACTGGATGTTCTGCAGCTCAGCGTTTCGGCGATTTGATATTGGAACGGCAGTACACCAAGTTCAACGCATGCCGATTCAGCGGGTGTAGAGGGCAGAAGACCTGCGACGATCCGGATGGCCTTGTTGTAGGTTGGGGCTAGATGCGTGGTTAGAGAGTCTTTGGAGAGGCAGGTTAGTTCAATCCCATAAAATAGTCTACTGTTTACGGTGGCCTTGGCTACCTTTAGTAGGATCTCTCTGTTGCTGCTGTGGTGTGGTTTTGAGAGTGTTCGCAGGAGGTTTAGTCGCGTACGGCAATTGGCTTTAGTGTCAGTAAAGTGTGCGTTGAACCTCAGCTCTCGGTCCAGGCGCACTCCGAGAACCTGAATGGTCTTTTTGTTGGGTATCGGAATGTTGTTCGCTAAGATGTTCGTTGGTATCGGCCGATGGCGGGAGCGGCATAGATGGGAAACCATGCTCTTTTCTGGGGACAGTACGAAGCCGGCCTTGGAGGCCCATCTTGAGATGGCTGATACAGCAGCTTGCAATTTTCTTCGCAATGCTTTGAGGGTGCGTCCGATAGCTAGCAGAACGATGTCGTCTGCATACACAAAGATGAATATTCCTTTTGGCAGGTCACTAAAGACACCATTCATTGCAACCAAGAAGATGGTGACCGCAATGACGGAGCCCTGTGGGACTCCAGTCTCTTCCGCTCGGGGTGAGGAGCGGTGGTTTCCAATCAGAACCTGAAAAGTTCTACAACAAAGGAAGTTTTTTACGAAGTGAAGGATATGGCCACTTAGACCCCAGTCAACCAATTGTTTTATGACCTGAGGGGTCCATGCGCGGTTATATGCCTTGGCTAGATCCAAGGCCGCTATGTCGATGTGGAGTTCCTCCTCCATCGCTTCCTGAAGTACGTCTCCCAGGCCGGTAAAGTACGTTCCGGTCCCGTGGCCGGGTCTGAACGCATGCTGTCGGTGATCGAGATGGTTGTTGTCCTCAAGGAACCGTATTAGTCGGCGATTGACCATCCGTTCCATGACTTTGCTGGTACAGCACGTCAGTGAAATCGGACGGAAATTTCCCGGTGTTGAAGCAGCTTGTCCCTGCTTTGGTATGGGGACTACTAGGCTGTGAGACCATTCTTTAGGCAGGGTGTTGTCCGACCAAATTTTGTTTATTAGATTTAGCAGTTCGATTTTGGTGTTGGGTGGGAGGTGTTGCAGCATGGGATATCCGATGTCGTCTGGACCAGCAGATTTACTTTTGCTACGGGATAATGCTAGATTAAGTTCTTCGAACCGAAAGGGAGCGTTTATATTTGTTGGCATTGGGTCCTCCGGGATGGCAATGTCACGAATACTCTGTGTGGACGCATGGTTTTTTTGTATGAACGCCGTGTCGTAACGATTAATGGCCGAAAGTGAAGCGAAGTATTCTGCTAATTCGTTGGCGATGGTTTGTGGGTCTCGTGTGAGCCCACTTGGGAGACGAAGGGCCATCCCTCTGGCCTTTCTCTTTCCTTTGAGGGCGTTGACTCGACTCCACAGCTCTGACACCGCTTGGTTGGGGTTGATCCCCTCCAAAAATTCTTCCCAGCTACTTTTCTTAGCATCCCTGATGATTTGCCGGCATTCATTTCGCTTGGAGCGGTAGAGCTCGGTAGCTCGTTCCTTGTCTGGGTGATTCATGGGTAGGCGTTTGGCTGCACGAAGAGCTTTTCTTCTCGCTTTAATGGCAGACTTTGCTTCTGGACACCACCAGTGTAAGGGTTTCCGGCCGTGGTTTGAACTGGTCTTTGGAATGGAGATTTTTGCGGCCTCAGAAATGATCTCCATGAGTTCTTCAATGCTTGCCACTGGATGGTCGATGTGTGCCTGAGTCACGGTATCGTTGAAGAGTTCCCAGTTAGCTTGATCGTAGAGCCACCTGGGACACCTTGAGGTCTCTGGAGGTTCTCCCCCTAACAAGATGATGATAGGATAGTGGTCACTCCCTGCTGGATCATCCAGAGTTTTCCAGAGGAGGCGCCCGGTAATGGCTGGGCTGGCTGCAGAGATGTCGATCGCTGTTTCGCACTGGCCACGGACGAAGGTGTTCGATCCGTCGTTGAGGGTCACTAAGTCGAGGGACTCGATGAGTTCCGCTATGGTAGCACCACGGAGGTTTGCTTTAGAGCTCCCCCAAGATGGGTGGTGCCCATTGATATCGCCGAGGAGTATAAGAGGGCCATCAATTGGGGCCAAAACTCGTTGAAGTTTGTGTAGAAGGTCCGGAATTTTCCCGTTTGGTAGGTATAGGTTGATGACTGAGACCGGGAATGGGGATTCCAATTTGGCTCCTACGATTGGGAGGTCGGTATTAAGGTCGATAGGGATGAACGGAATGCCATCAGCAATTCCGAGGGCAACCGAGTGATAAATATTGCTTTGACTGCAATTGTTGATCCACCGGTATTTGCCTGCAAGTGTGCGGTCTAGCTGCATTATGTTGACTCTGTGGGTCTCCTGGAGAGCCAGAATCCTGGGTGAGATATTATGAACCAGAACTTCTAAGTCCCCAAGATTGTTAAAAAATCCGTTCATGTTCCA